GCAGATGTTTCTCCATGCTGTCGTCTTATTTTTTGTCCAAGGTGACAACAAATAATGCTACTTTTTATTTTGAAATAAAATAATAATAATAATGTTTTGACTGCGATTACTGGCATTTCCTAATTATTTAGAACGGATAGTGTTTCGTTCTTCTGAGCTATTCATTGGTTTGATATTCTTGTTAGTGGTTCTTAGTGAGTAACCACTTTTGGATGAATGTTCCCTTCAGAATATCTAGTACTGCGTGTAAGGTGTCATTACTAAACAGAAAGCTTTACAAAAACCTAAATTTCAAGGAAAACCCTAATCTGTGATCTCCTTAAAAGAAGAATTTCACCATCTTTGAGAAGAATATGCTCCACAACAATTCTGAGAATAGTATTATTCAGTTGCCTATTGGTCTGCAGAAGCCTTTAGGACAAAACTTCGAATCTCACCTCTTCTATGTGCATGCATCAGTTCATCTGTTCCTGTGAAGTCAAGTGTATTGGTCGTTCAAATCGCATCCTATGTAAGCAGGCTAAAGAACACCTTTGTCAACGACCGACAATACACTTTCGTGTATTATTATATTATTATTATTATTTCCTTTAGTTCCTAGAGGAACATAGGGCTTCAGCCATTCGTCTCCATTGCGTTCGGTTCTCCGCTAGAGTTTTCACCTGGCTCCAAGTCTGCCCATACGCTTTCAATTCTTCTTCACATGATCTCCTCCAGGTCACCCTTGGACGACCAACTCGTCGCTTCCGTTTCGGGTTCAACTCGAGCAATGGCTTGTCTAGTGATGTCACTTGCTGGTTTCCTCAGAGTGTGGCCAATCCATCTCCATTTATTCCTGCCTATTTGTTTCACAATTGGTTCCTGGTTGGTTCGCTCCCAGAGATCTTTGTTGCTGATCCTTTCCGGCCATCTGATCTTGAGTATTGAGCGAAGACAACTGTTAATGAAGGTCTGTAGTTTGTTTGAGATGCTCTTTGTGACACGCCAAGTCTCTGATCCGTATATTAAGTAGCATTGACTTCACATTGGAGTTGAAAATCCGGATCTTATTTTTGATGCTGAGTGTTGTTGACCTACACACAGACTTGAGAGTAGTGAAAGCTTGTCTTGATTTTCCGATTCTTGGTTTGATATCCTCGTCAGTTCCTTCGGCCTGTAGTTGAAACAATGCTTCCCAAGTAGGTAAAGGAGGTAGTTTCTTTCAGGTTTCTTCCATTTATGCTGATTGCTGTCTGTTGTTGTTGCTGTGGCTGTTGGTGTTGGCCAGGAATCTTCATCACCTACCTCTGTTTTCTCTATGTTCACCTGGAGTCCTATCTTTGATGCTTCTTCTGCCAACTTGTTGCTCTTCATTTGCATATCTTCCAGTTTGTGGGAAATCAGACATATATCATTGGCGAAATCCAAATCCTCCAAGGCTTTTGTGTCGGTCCATTTTATGCCTGTTCCCTCGTTGGTTGCCGTTGTCTGCCGCATTATCCAATCAACTGCAATCAGGAAGATCATTGGTGACAGTAGACAGCCTTGTCTCACTCCCGTCCTCACTTCGAAGGATTCCGTGAGCCTCTCGTTGTGGATTACTTGGCATGCAGCGTTGTCATACAGCTGTTGGATGAGATGTATAATTGTCGGCGGCACCCCGTAGTAGCGAAGTAGTTGCCAAATCACCTCTCGATCGACGCTGTCGAAGGCTTTCTCAAAATCGATGAAGTTGAGATAGAGAGGTGACTGCCATTCCAAACTTTGTTCAATGATGATCCGTAGTGTGGCGATTTTATCAATGCATGACTTGTTTCTCCTGAATCCAGCTTGTTCCGGTCAAAGTTTTTCATCCAGGGCACGTTTGATTCTCTCCGGGATGATGCGGCTTAGTATTTTGCTTTGGATAGACGGGAGCATAATTCCGCGCCAGTTCTTGCATTGACTTAAGTCTCCTTTCTTTGGTAGTTTGAATAAGTATCCTTTCTTCCAATCCTCGGGTACCTTCCTTCTTTCCACACCTTCTCCAGTAGTGGCGTCATCAAGTCCGCTGTTGTCTCTCGGTCCACTTTCAATGCCTCTGCTGGGATTCCATCTGGTTTTGCTGCTTTTCCAGCTTTAAGCATCTTGATTGCCTTCAGGACTTCTGTTCTCCTCGGGGGGTTGATGTTCACTGGTAATTCTGCTTCCGTTGTTGGTATTGTTGGGTGCGTTGTAGGTGGCGGTCGGTTTAGTAGTCTTTTGAAGTGTTCAGCCCACTGTTTCCTTTGCTCCACTTCTTTGGTGATTGACTTTCCATTGTCATCCTTCACTGGCTCAATTTGTGACGATTTTTTGCCTGAGAGGTACCTAGTTGTTTGGTAGAGTGTTGCGAGGTCTCCTTTGCCTGCTGCTTGTTCTGCTTCATTGGCCATGGCTTCATAATACTTTTTTTTGTCTTCTCTGGCACTCCTCTTTACTCCTTTGTTCAGTGTATTGTAGCTTGCATTCAACTCCTGTTCCTGTTGCTCGTCGGTGCACTGGATAATCTTTTGTTTCACCATCCTTCTCTCTTCTATTAGTCTCCAAGTGTCCGTAGTGAGCCACGGTTTGTCCTGTCTCTTCTTTCTGCCCAGAACTTCCATGCAGGTTTCGCTCCATACCGCTTTCAGGTTGTCCCAGTGTTTTTCAACGCTGACCTCTTCGCTAATGTTGATTTGTGTCTCAGCTTTGTCCTTTATGCTTGCAGTAAAGATGTCCTTTGTATCCTGGTCCTTTAGTTTTTGAGTGTTGAACTTGGCTTGTGGTCTATCTGCAGCTCCTGTTTCTCTGAAAGCTTTTAATTTGAGTTGTTCCTTGTACGAGGTAGTGGTCTGAGCCAACGTCTGCTCCTCTTCTTGCTTTTGTGTCCAGTAGGCTGCGCCGCCACTTCCTGGAGATTGTGATGAAGTCAATTTGGTTTTTGGTTCGCCCATCTGGTGACACCCATGTAGCCTTGTGAATATCCTTGTGTTTGTATACGCTGCCACCAATCACTAGTTCATTGAAGGCGTAGAAGTCGGCGAAGAGTTCTCCATTTTCATTCATCTCTCCCAGAGCTTCTTTACCCATGATGAGTTCCCTCCCTGTGTTGTCTGGTCCAAGTTTGGCGTTCGTGGCACTTTCGTGTACTTTTCATTAATGAAGCTTTCAGCCATTCAGTTAGAGATACTGGAGCTATGAACACAACCCTGCTGATCTCGATTGACTTGTTCTTTGTATTGGTTTGTTTATTAGATTTATCACACAGTGACGAAACAGTATTATTTACTGGATGACGTTTCCAACACTTTTTATTACTGTTCATAATCATCTCATCAATTATAATCATACGACTTCGAAACTTGAGATTTATAGTTTCCTTTGTTCTCTCCTGTTTGTCATCGTAGGCGTGGTAGTAGAATTTCCTGATGTCTGGGTGGACAGGTGTTGAATCATTCCTATAACACGTATTGACTCTAAGCTGATTCGGTAAACAAAGCTTCTGTTATCAGTCTCTCCCTCCACCCTGTTGCATTACATTTTAAAACTGTCACCTTATCCCGTCCGATCGTATGGTTGTGTATAATTGCATGTGGTGAGACAGTAGGTGGCATAGTTCAAAATAGTTCCCAGAGGAGAAGATTCATCAACTATCTATGACGACTTAGACCTCGTAAACAGTCATAACCCTTTATCTGTTGTAATCCCTTATCTATCTTTGTTCTCCTATTTTACATATGTGTGCGCTTATGGAGTATGAGAAACTACATTACTGTACTTTTGTGCACCTTCGTTCTTCTCTGAAACTCACTGAAACTACTAGTAAATGTCGAGTGAGTTAGATCAACAGGGCACAAGAACATAACGAAATCTGAACAAATAAAGGAATTCTACCGAGATAATAAATCCAACAAAGAGAGCTCAACCAATAAACTTAATGCAGTAACATAAAACTAAACAACAGAAGAAGACAAAAGGACAGTCGTAGTTTTAGTACGATGAAGGAACATATCGTATAATTGCAGCTTTATTTATCAAGTCAACTGAGAATATACGCAACAGGAATGATTCAGCATTTATTGGAGACATCTGAAATATGCTACCAACATGCGTTACAACAGCTGGAAAGAGTGAGAAGAAAGGGAGGCATAAAAATCGCCTTTGATGTTGAGACGTCATACAACAATTAATAATGCTGTGTAGCGAGTTGAACGTCATGCGCTAACGTGAAGGAGCTCAGTTGAGTTGAACCAACAAAAATGAACTGCACATAACAGAATAGTATGACAACATGCCGTTGAAGCCCTATGTTTCACTTGTAGCCTAAAGTTAGCAGTAATAATATTGTAATACTGTAGTGAACCACATTATGCAATAAACAAAAACAATGTGGAATAACCAAATATTTGCACAAATAAAAGAAGTTTATGTACTGAAATCTCTGCACGAAATTCGCTGGTGAACGAATGTGACAAACGTGTAGACATCTCATAGAGTCAAATTTTAATTTCTCATCACTCCTAACTTTCTTTCTGTAACTAACTTAACGCTATTTGATGTAAGGGCACACGAATAAGGTTATGTAGTACAAATATACTTTTTCTTTTCCTTCCTTTACCTTCCCAGTGGAACATAATAAGGGCTTCAAGCCAGCGGCTTGAAATTTTTGTAAAAGTGGTGATTATTTTTTTACAGGATGGGTTTGCTAGCCTCATGCCCTCTCCCCCAACCTTCGCTCTTTACCAGTCTTAAAACTACTGGCTTAGTGGGGTAAAGGAGTAGTGCGTCTGTGGCTAGAGACCGAACCCTGGACCACATGAGGCGTGGTCGATGAGCACTGTACCACTGGGCAACCGACGCACAAATATACTATAATAATATAAACCTTAAACCCAACTATAGTTTAATGTTTCCGTGAAAAAATCAAGAATACATATCTGTGTATATATAAACAAAACTGAGAAAAACCTACAAACTACCTGACTTTGGTATAAACACGAATACTTGAATTATAAACTTACTCAGTTTCCAATTCATCGACAACACAACTATAACGATTATTATTATGCAAGCATAATTGAGTATACTGACGAACTGGATACACACATAGATAGATAGATGGATAGATATGGAGCATGACAACAGTGAAGAGGTTTGTTTACACAAAATGCACATATACATACACCGATACACACACATATAAATATATATACATTGCATTACATACACCAAATTGACAGATAGAGTTTTCACACCGAAGAGTGTACACATGTGGATAGAATTTGTGCAACACCGTGTAGAACACCGAACACCAGTTCATCAGTTGAATTGAACAGGAATTCCATCATTCGATTTTTATCATTATTATTATTATTATGCATGCCAATAATAACAGCGTTTCAATACCAAATAATCACAGTGTGTATAATTGTAATCCGATTGGGAAGTGCGTAAACATTGAATATAATACATATGTATATACGCATGATGGAGACCATCGTGTATATATGTGCAATGACGACATCATCAACATTAGCCATACAGGACAAATAAATTCACATGCATTGAGAAGGGCAAAAGGGAGAAAGAAATACAAAGATTGAGTGAATAAGGCGAAACAGTAGATAATTTGTGCTTTTTTCACAATAGAAACAAGCGAAATACGTAATAAGAGAAATGACAAACAATTATGTATATATAAACAGAGTACTAGTTTATAAATGATCGAGAAGTTGTCAAACGAACTGTTAGGGCCTTAGGGGTGTGTGGAGTACCTATACTAGACTAGCTAATCACTTCTGATTGTATCTACAGATTCAACTGCGCTTGTGGGGGGCGAGTTATATCAGCCGTTGCTCTGGTAACACCTCCCAGTATGGCTAAGTAAAGGTGTAGTGAAAACCATCAACAGTTCGATATTAGACCATTGAAGAATCCTTCTCTTTCATCTACCAGGTGTCAAACAAATTGCCAAAAATATTGCAATTAGCCTCAAACAACCAGTGCTTTGTGTTCAAAAGAAGCAAGTCCAGCCATGTACTACTACTGCCCTGGCCTTCAGTAGAGACTATAAATTCATTAACTTGTATTATTATCTTTCCTATTTTTTCTGATATTCAGTTTATTGTTATGTTGATGCTATCGAGCTGTAATCTATTGATATTATTGATTCGATGTTATTTAAACAACAATAATGCAGTTCATAACACTAATTCATTCATTCACTATAATGTATATATAGTCGTGGAGCCTGATGATGAAGGGGTTATCGAAAAGAGAATCGTTGTAAAACCAAGAAGTATTGAACAGCTGTTCAGTTCTACTTCAGGACTGTTCAGCAGTAGGCATCCAATGTTCAGTGTTCAAACACACGATGTTGTGTTTCGATAGCAAGCTCATAAACCATTCAGCCAATGGGATCCGTTTTAACGACCCATGATATCTAACTTCTACCAATTTATAATATTTTAGCGCGACTACCAGTTAGTGTCATTGGCGAATGTTTGTATTCCCAGTTCTCACTAGAACCCCAGGTAACTTCGTCCTGCAGCTGATCAATTATGTTCAAAACCAGTCACTCACGTAGGTGAAAATTATAGGATCCAAAGATACCAGATGAAATGACTATCTTTTTTAATGTGGTTGTGTCCTCTAAGCTGGGTATAATTTCACTTAGAAAGCTTTTACTATCTTTTTAGACAACTTCTTCAGCGTAAAACTTCACATTGAAGCACTGAAGATGCTTTTTAGAAACCAAACATCTCAGAGTACACAACACCCTCAAAATGATCCACCTCAGCTACAAATATTCTCTGATTACTTTCAACCAATCATATAATCACAAAGGTCATCTCAGACAGTGTTAACGTGAACTGTTCCCAAATTGATTAGACTGCATACTAAAGTTGTTTCTACAAAAATAGATAGTAGCACCTCAGTTAAGAAACTGTTTGTTTTAGTGATATCTATTTCTTAAGATTGTATAAGGAAAAGACGTGAAGGACAAATTCCAACAATTTTGGCGCTAGTATTCATAGATTTTTCGTACGGGGACAAGAGTATTCAATTTCTAGTGTGAAGGTCTGGGTTTTGATTCCCGATTAACTCATGAGTCGACACTGTTGGAGGTTAACCAAAGTATTGCAAAACCGGAGTCTTATGCCAACCAAAATTTAAAAACCAATTAATCTGTTGGATGGGAATGACAGTTATAACAGAGTTTTGAATTAATTGTACAATTTTATAATTTGTATTAACGAGTATATTTATTATCAGAAGATTATTAGTATCTAGAAGTTAACTGTTGGATGGTAACTAGCAGTGGGATTCAGGATAAAGCGCATTTCGTCCCATTTGGGACTCGTCAACTTCATGTGCCTGCATTCCCCAGAGAGTCAGTGATGGTGTTTGCACCAAGGCTGTAACCCATTGCGCATAGTTTCGAACGCCAAGGCGCTATCCACTAGACCACTTGGGCCACGAGAGCCAACTCTTGTGCAACGGGTCATATCTATCTAGGTTACGACCACAGATCAGAAAGAACGCAGCATCCTATGATCTGACGGTACAGTGAACTCTACACCCGGCTACCGGAGTTCAAGTCTCAGTGAGACCTACAGCCAAGCAACGTGAAAAAATCCAACAAGAAATGATGGAATACTCAATAACACTGATATCTTACAAGCTTCTCCTACAGATATTAGGAGTACTGGACTTTAGTTTTAACACTCTCATCTTATTTAAGCATAAAGCTTAGTAGTAATCATTATTATTATTTCCTTTAATTCCTAGAGGAACATAGGGCTTCAGTCACGCACGTCTCCATTGCGTTCGGTTCTCTGCTAGAGTCTTCATATGGCTCCAAATCTGCCCACATGCTTTCATCTCCTCTTCACATGACCTCCTACAAGTCAGCCACTGTTGCACTGACGACCAACACACCGCTTCCCTTTCGGGCTCCACTCGAGCAATGGCTTGTCTAGTGATGTCACTCACTTGATGGTTTCCTCAGAGTATGCATAGCCAATCCATCTCCATTTCTTCCTGCTTATTTGTTGCACACTCGGTTCCTGGTTGGTTGGCTCCCAGAGATTTCTGATGTTGATCTTTTCTGGCCATCTGATCTTGAGTATTGATCGAAGACAACTGCTAATGAAGGTCTGTAGTTTGTTTGAGGTGCTCTTCATGATGCACCAAGTCTCTGATCCGTTTAGCAAGTGGCACTGACTTCACATTGCAGTTGAAAATCCAGATCTTATTTTCATTTTCATGCTGAGTGCTGTTGACCTCCACACAGACTTGAGAGTGATGAAGGCTTGCCTTGCTTTTCCGATTCTTGCTTTGATATCCTCCTCAGTTCCACCCGCCTGTAGTTGAAACGATGCTTCCCAGGTAGGTAAAGGAGGTTGTTTCTTTCAGGTTCCTTCCATTTATGCTGATTGTTGTCCGCTGTTATTGTTGTTGTTATTGGTGTTGCCCAGGAATCTTCATCACCTAACTCTGTTTTCTCTATGTTCACTTGAAGTCCCTTCTATCTTTGATGCTTCTTCTGCCAACTTGTTGCTTTTCGCTTGCATATCTTCCAGTTTGTGGGAAATAAGACATATATCATCGGCGAAGTCCAGATCCTCCAAGTTTTTCGTTAGGGTTCATTTTATGCCTGTTTCCTCATCATAAAAGACACTTTTCCAGATACAACTGATATAAAAGGTTACCAGTATTTTGGTAGAATGATCTGATTAACTTAGTTTTTGTACTAGTTGTTTCTTTTAAGTCCATCAATACAAAACCCCGGCTCACTAAGAGACTCTGTTCTGCCGAATGACTGGTGGCAATCAACGGGAAGCTTGATCTCAGATTTACAGCTTATTGATGCCTATCAGCAACACATATCTGCAACTCCAAGGAGAAGGACATCCCTAAGGAGATTCGGGACTAATTCATCCAGTACTATGGCCATAGGCACTACCATTGAGATATTCACGCATGCGACCAATATCCTGTAGGACTGTGATAGCTACATAAAAACTAGTCACTAGGATATAATCAACTTCATGCCTGCAGACAGCCCTTGACGTTGGTTTCGACTGGATCCTATCAGTCAGTTTAGCAATGTCATTACCAAGCCAGGGGACTCTCCATAGTAGTTCAATTTAAAAGGATAGTGAATGGTATACCAGTGAGCACGAAATCTTATCGATTTTTTCAACCGTTCATCATCAAATGGAAGTGTACTGTGGCGGTGCCTATATATTACAAACTTGGCTGACAGAATTCAATCTCACATGACACTGGTTACTCCCTGGTGGCAAATTAATGTAGCTTGCAATCTGAAAAACGTAGCGCTCGAGTATGGAACTATGCCGTATAAATGGCTCACCCCACGTGTGTCATTAGCTTAAACTTCATTGAGACTTCACTGGAGTATGCAAAGTTTTATTTCAAGAACATCTATTTTCATTTTGAAGGGCCACAATCCTACTAATGGTTAATCAGGTAATTCCCATTTCACTGAAATATTGCCAAAAACTGATCAACTGTCATTACTGCTAGTACATACTCGCAGTGGGAAAAAATAAACTAAGACTCGAACGATACAGAGAAGATTAGCACGGCCCATGAGGAAGGATGGCATGCGAAATCATTAAACATTCCATATTTTATGCGTTAGTGGTTCAATGGTAAAGTACTCACCAACCGCGTACGTGGTCCGGGGTTTGACATCACGCCGACACACTGCTTAACCAGTAGTAAGATCGGTAAAGAGGGAAGTTTGAGTGAGAGGCTAGCAACCTCACTTCGTGGAAACAGCACCACCGCTACTGAAACTTCAGAGGTTGAGCTTAGATCCCTGTGTTCAAGTTTGAACTTAAGGGAATAAATTAATGATGATACTGTTAGCCCACGATATACAGATTCAAGTATTGGCTTGTAGAGATTTGACTGACTGGTTACCTGGGAGTTACCTTGGCTTCTAGTGTGAAGTCGTGACTAGTAGGGTGTAGAAGGTCAGATGTGAGGACAAGTACTCAACAAAGACATTGGCTAACGGTCGCGCTATGTCGTGAATTGGTAGAAGTTAGAATTCATGGGTC